TCAGAGGCAGTATCTCTGGAGTAACAATTCCATCCCTCCCTCTCTCCCCTCTGCTTCCCCACATTTTTTTTTCTCCTGCTCTTCTGAAGTGGATTTATGGCTCTTACCCACGTAAGGAGATGACACTGTCCCCTCGCTGGCCCCTGTTCGGCACGCCCTGTGAGGAGAGGTCTGCCTGCTCACCTTGGCCTAGAGGTGGTGACTGCTGTCTTTCACCGTATTTCTCCACCCACAATTATACCGACACCTCCTAAGCCTCCTCATTGAAGGGGAATACCACAGAACAATTTGCTCAAAGACAATAACTACCCGGAAACAATTTGCCCCTGTCTTATGGGTGGGGAGTAAGACTCCAGAGTGCTGAGCTTCATGACAATCCTCTTACAGGAGATTCTGGCATGCGAGGGATTAGAACTCCGGCCGTCAGCGCCAGTCAAGCCATCTGGACACTCCCCTACCGGATCCTACAACAAATAAGGAAGCCAGTGCCAAGTGTGGCACTTCTGGATTGTCCCGGCCTCACTGCCTTTACTTCGCCCAGCTTGAAAAATCAATCCTAACTTGCCCGACAGGGTGGCGATGTGCTGGTAGGCTGGGGAGGCACGGTTTGGGAGAGCCCAGTTCAGCAGGCTCCTGTGATCTGCCCATCACCTCCTCAGCCCTCATGCATCGCGGTGGCAGCAGTGGCCACGCTTGGGAGGCTGGCACTCGTTCCCTCAGTGCTGGGTGCCAGGCAAGGCCAGGGCAGCAGAGACACGGAGGGCTGTCCGTGCTTCTTCCGGTGCTCACCTGGCGCTTCCGGGGAACCTAGCTCGGTTTTCTTCCCAGACAGGGCACTGGCTATTCTACTATCAATGTGAATAAAACTTCCCTGAAGGAGCAGGGCTTGGCATCCAGTGGGCAGTAAGAAGAGAGTCTCAAAGAAGAGCCTCACACAGCCCTGTCATGTTTCTGTGGGTGACTGTGCGGGTGCAGGCTTGTAAGGGAAATCTGCTCAGGAGGCTGAGGCAGGGGGATGGCAACTTCAAAGGCTGCCTGGGCTACAGAGTGGGTTCAAGGGTACCCTGGGAGATCTGATGGACCCCGTCTCAGAATTCTCATGGATCTCTTGGTGGCTCAGTTGTCCAAATGTATCCACAGTACCCTAGGTTGCACATTATAGATTACACAGGTCTCACCAGTGGGGTAGATGCTTAATAAATAAAGAAGTGCCAAGTATCTTGTCCAAGGCCATCACAAGGTGAAAGGTAGAGAGAGGATTTGAACTCAGCTCTGCCAGGCTCCACCATATCAGGCAGGCTTTCTGTTTCTGTCCGACTGCTTCCAGAGTATTTTCAGTTTTGTTACATGCTGTGGCAGTCACAATACATCATCGAGGCGGCAAGTGTCTGACAGATCAGAACAGACTTATGGCATTGACTCGTGGGCCAGGGTTGCCCAGGCTAGCTGCATCAGTGTTGGTCTGTCCTCCACGCCAGTGGCTTTTCTGCCTGTTCGTGATTCCCTTTCCCATTCTCACCCTCTCATGGGATGGCTTTGTTAAGGCACAAAGTTATCTTCACAGCAGGGGCAGAACATGGCAGATTCTTTCTGTGTCCCTGGAAGACACTAAGCAGCTACTCCTATAGCATTTACTGTGTGTCCAGCAAAGCATTAAACATCGTTACGTTATTCCTTTAGGGTTGTGTGCACAGGGCAGGCACCCAGTGATGTCAGAGGACCCTGGCGGGCTGGTCCTCCCAGAGCTTCAACTCCTCAGGCTTGGCAGCAAGAGGCTTTCCCCGTGAAGCCACCGCCCTGTCCTCCCCATCAAACACTTTGTATCTGACCCGGTTAATGCTCCCTGGGCCCTGTGGAGTAGCTGCCTTTACTAGCTTCACTTTACAGTTGACGGAAGCTGACACACAGAAGTCAGTTCCTTGGATCAAGGAGTCAACAAGAGGCGAAGCTGGGACCCAGCCAGGCAGATGGCTGCTCGTGAGCTGTGGAGCACAGGAGTGAGGGTCAGCGCCCCCTGACCTCCTCTGTCCTCCCGTCAACCTTCTGCTTGTTCTCAACCATCCCACTGCTGCCGTCCCGGCTGGAACCCTGCAGATCACCCACAAGGCTCCTCTGGAGAGCCCAGAGTCCGGCTCTCCTGCTGTTGTCACTTGGGAGTGACACTTGTGCTTGTGAGTGCTGTATGGGGTCATGCCCAGAAGGCCTGGCTGACCTGTGCATGTGGGTGTACATGGGAGATGGTGGAGTCCCCAAAGCTAGGGCAGCCATTTATCCATGTGCCTGTTCTGCCATCAAGGGTCCTCTGTCCCCTCCCGGCCTGGATGGGGCGGGAGCTGAGTCTAGGCTTTAAGCTGAGGATTGCCAGCCCTCGTGGGGGTCAGTGACTGAATGTGGGGGCCAAGAAAATTTGGCAATAAAAGGTTGCTGAAAGCACAAGGACCAAAACATTTATTTAAAAACCAAACGCTCATCGAGTCCGAGCTGTTTCTGCAGCCTTCCCCTAGGTTTCCGTGTGGCCCTCGCTGCAGTCTCTCCCCTGAACACACATCGTGGGCGTGTTGCACTGTCATGCGGTCCTGTCCTGCACGGCAGGAAGGACGCAGCCCAAAGCAGGCTGGTTCAGGCGGAAGCGTCTTGAACACCAGTTTCCAGTGCTTTACTTCACACACAAGGCTTTCTGCCACTGTAGAAACATAACGGTCAAGTTCCGGAAAAGAAAGACTTTACATACTTCCCCGCCACCGGTCCTCGGGATGAGTTTGTCTTCAGGTTCTGCTTGTGTTAAAATGTTTGACTTGCTGATCTGCACTTCATAAAGTGTTGTCCACTGACTTTGAGCCTGGGATAAGGGCAGAATTGCCAACAGTTTCTGAAATGGTTCCAAATACACTTCTGTCATTTGTACCGTGTATTTCTGTGCAGTGTTGGTCTCAGCACTGATGAGTATAAAAATCAGGGCAGCACTCAATTCTGAAACATGTTGGAGATGCTCTGTGGCCTGCCATTTCAAACGTTTAGCCAGGATTTCTCTTTATGTATATGTGCATATACATAAATAACCACGTCCATCTTATTAGTACGGAAATTTGCTTTTTAACACATGGTAAAATTATATGTATACTGAACAATTATTTTCAAAATAAGTTTCTTCTGATTCAGCAGTAAGGGTTTTGCTTGTGTATCTACTTTATCTACCTTTATACCTTGGGCCATGTAAAAATGTCTCCAGCACAAAGCAGCCTGCAGGTAGAGAAAGTTCAAGACGTGGCAGCCTAGATGAGGCCCCCTAAGAGTCCCAGCGATGATCATTATACAGACAGACACCCAAACTCTTCCTCTGCATATTTTCATCCAGAGGCTGGTATGGTCTAAGTCCTGAGTCAGTTGATACTTTTGTGGCTTGTTACCACTTTTGCGGTAACACAAAAAAGTGCTGACACTTTTGTGGTGTGTGAGAAGCTGGATAGGCAGAACAGCAGCAGCCAGGTCTTTCCACAGAGAAGTCCAGGGCCTACAGGAATGCTGGCACATGAGCAGAGGGACACTGCCTAGACCAGATGGCAGAGTGGGAAGGAGATTCCAACAATGGGATCTTTCTTGCAACTAAGGTGTGCTGACGCTGGAATTCGGCTACTTGGTGGGTTCTTTTTTCTTCCAGACTTCTCCACCATTTTCCGACCATTTCAACCTCCTGACACTAGATATGAGAGAAAAAAGGCTAGAGGGGAAGGGGCACCACTATTGCTAGACTACTTCTCGCTATTAGGGCCGTCGAGTTCCTTGGGGCAAGATGGAACTTTGCCATCAGGATATTTAATTTCTTCTTGTCTCTTTGCGCCCGACTCCGTACTTAACAAACCGAGACCAACAGCGACCAACCTGCAACCCACCTCCCGGGGACCCTCTGAAAAGCCTCCAGAGTCCCCAATGCCACACAGAGACTCTCTGCCGCTGGCAAAATCACGCTCCTGCCAGAGCACGGGGAAATCATACTCAGCTGCATATCCCACACCTGGGATTGAAAGGAAAACATATTCTTATACTATTTCTTTCTTTTTTTTTTTTATTAAATGAAACCAAAATGCTAAAATTGTCACTGCAGTGTGCACATAGTCTTATCCCAGGATGAGTGAGGTCCTTGAGCTGACTCTACCATGCAGCTGAGTAGGCTCTGTATTCTGCCCTGTCCTGCTATTGGTCTAGGATGGTGGGGGCAGGGCCTGCCTTGAGACCTGCTCTCCATAGCCTCATTCTTCTTGGCTCCGAATCTCAGGTTTCCATTCCCCAGGGACTAGACACTCTGGGTTTACTTTAGTTTCTTTCTCAAAACTAACACGCCTCACCTTAAGCTCTAACGTGTCTTCAGCTCTGGGTCTGCTTAGATGGACACCTTTGACTTCAGAGGCAGCAGACTGGACCCCGCATTAATGCATTTCTCACTATAGCTCCACTCCCACGCTCTCAGAAGCACAAGGCAAGGGGACATGCCATGAGAGAAACAGCTTGGGCCTTACAGGAGTGCCACAGGACCCGGTTCATAACAATCGCTTAATGAACTCAGGCCTGCTATCCAGTTCCCTGGAGAAGGCTGACCAGTCCTAATGGCCAGGTGACGGAGACCAAGGGCCCCTAATCCCATGGGGTCTAGAGCCAGCTCATCCTGCTGTAATGGTTTCTGCTTAACTCCCGAGACTCCTGAGGAAATCACAAGTTGGGAGGGAGGAGAGAGCTCTTTCTGTCTACCGAGGCAAGTTGGGGTGATTAAGCTAAGAAAGCAAAGCCATTTGGGCCCAGAGGATTACCTGTGAGGTGTGCTGGGAACCAAGAGGCAACTTGCTGCCTGTGGGGCAAGCCAAACCTGAGGTGTCTCCTGGTAATTGCTCACCTCTCCTCCTGCCAAGCTGAGCAGCCGGGGATATAAAGGCCAGCTCCTCCTGTCACCCCCATCCTCTTCTCAGCCCTCTGCTCTGCTAGGGTAGCTCGCTGCCACACTCCTCATGATGAGCAGACAAGCCTGCAAGAACTCCTTCAGCGGCAGGAGCCAGGGCTTCTCCGGGCGCTCAGCTGTGGCATCGGGCAGCAGCAGGAGGAGCTGCGTGGCACGCTCTGGGGCAGCCAGCACAAGGGCCTGTGGGTCCTGGAGTGGAGCAGGGAGCTTCAGCAGTTGCAGCCTCCGCAGCTGGGGTGGGAGCCGGTGTAGCTCTGTCAGCGAGGCAGCTGGCGTCTCCAGGACTGGTGGCTTCGGCGGAGGGCGTGGCAGCATCAGCTTCGGAGGCGGCTATGGAGTTGGCTTTGGGGGAGCTTCTGGCCTTGGGGGAGCTAGTGGCTTTGGTAGGCCTGGTGGCTTTGGTCCTGGTGGTTGCCGTGGGGGAATCCAGGAAGTGACAGTCAACCAGAGCCTCCTGCAGCCCCTCAACGTGGAGATTGACCCCCAGATTGGGCAAGTGAAGGCCCAGGAGCGGGAGCAGATCAAGACCCTTAACAACAAGTTCGCCTGCTTCATCGACAAGGTGAGGGCAAAGCCCAGAGGCATTGTGGGCCGGTAAGCAGAGTTGCCAGCGCAACGCCTGGCTCTTGGCCTGTTCTACCTTACTGCTTCCAGAACAGTGGGCACACCGCCCTTGTTCTTTGTGCCCTCTCATGCCAGCTGTGGAAGGAGGGAAGGTCTCCTGGTGTTAACTTCCTTCTGGTGATGAGATGAGGGCCTTCATGGTCAGGGGATGAGTCTGCTCTGACTTCTGAAGAATTTAGCCACAAACCTAGAACAGTTTCCTTTCTCTCTGACACCAATTTCATTCAGTAACTAATTAACCTTGCACAAATCTCGGGACTGCTTCTCCATGTCTTCAGTAGCACCTTATCTTCCAAGTGATAGTAGGCCTCTGCCAACGGTAAGCGGAACTGTCCATGATGGCGCAGAGCAGGGCATGCTGGGTCCAAGGCAGAGATGAGCCCAGGGTTTGAAGTGAACGTTGGTCAGCTGCAAGATGAATGTCTGAGGATTCGTTGGCCGTTTTTACTACCTTTATGGAGGCGGAGAAGCTTCTATATAAAGACTAGTTCATGCTGACCTACATTGTGAAGATCGCAGTTGACCTAGGGTAGTCCTGAGTTTGCCTGTCCACCTTGTCACTCTGCATTCACCGCACTTTTGCTGACCTGATGCTGCCCAGGAGCCGGTAAGGATGAAGGGACAGAGAACATACGAAAACAGAGCACTCCACACATGCTAGCTCTCTCTCTTCTCATCCACATCTTCTCCAAAGTCCGAGACACACAGTCACTGTGGCCTGTTCCCAGCTCTCTACCCTTTGCCCACATGCCCGAGTGAAAGGGCCTTTTCCTTCCCCTCTGGCTGCAGGTGCGCTTCCTGGAGCAGCAAAACAAGGTCCTGGAGACCAAGTGGGCACTGCTCCAGCAGCAGAGCACCGGCTCCGGCTCACGACCCCAGAGTCTGGAGCCTTTCTTCGAATCCTACATCAACTGCTTGCGAAACAAGTCCGACTTCCTTCTGGGGGAGAAGGGACGCCTGGAGGGAGAGCTGAAGGGTGTGCAGGACCTGGCAGAAGACTTCAAAAAGCAGTAAGACTCCCGTGGGGAGGGGAGACTTCCTCATTTGAGCTGTCAGACACTGTCTAACATCCACCAATGGGTTTGTTGAGTGAGGCTGGCCGGTTCCCCTCCTGCACCAGCCCAGATGAGCGACAGGACTCCCTCAGGGAACCCCCCACATAGGGATCACCTAGCAGGGTCACAGCGGGACGTACCCTGCAGCCCGGTTTCTGCTCTTCTGAGCAGGGGGTGTGGGGCAGGGCTGAGCCTGGTGCTCCCTCCACCCCGGTCCAGGGATATTCTCTTGATCCCGCAGCTTCGCCCTACCTCCTTGTTAAGGTTCCAAATCCGAGTTCACACCTGAGATCCGTGAGAAGTGAACAGGGCCTCCCGGGGTGGGTGGAAGCCCCAGAGATTCCCCAGGAGTCAGGACCCATAGAGAGGGGTGTACCTGCTCCTGGGGCCCCCTTCTTCAGTCACTATACAAGGGGTGGGCACTTGCTTGGTGGCCGGCTCCAGGCAGGGCTGTGGAAATTCAAGGGCTAGAAGCGAGCTTGCTCTCCAGAGTTTTCTACGACTGTCTGTCTGTCTGTCTGTCTGTCTGTCTGTCTCTGTCTCTCTCTCTCTTATTTGTGTGTGTGTCTGGGGTAATGGCAGGGGCACATGTGCCACAATTAGGGCACACAATTAGGGGCAAATGTTCAGAAGATGGGACAACTTTTCTTTTTTTCTCCAAGATAAGGTCTCACTATAGAGCCTTGGCTGTCCCGAAACTCTCACTCTGTAGACCAGGCTGGGCTCAAACTCACAGAGAGCCACCTGCTCCTGAGTGCTGGAATTACAGGTGTGTGCCACCATGCTCAGTCCAGGGACAACTCTTGAGAGTCCTCTCTCCTTCCATTGTGTGGAGTCCAGGGAGCAGGTCATCCGGCTTAGTGGCATTTTTATTTTTTTTTTTGAGACAGGGTTTCTCTTGCCTTTTCTGGAACTCAGGCTGCTGTCATAGGTAGGGCTTGGTGGCACATAGCCGTGATACAGTCGGAAGACTTGAGTTCCATTCTTACCCTAAATTCCTCTCCAATTCACTGTGAGGAGGGAAATAGAGATACCAGGGGACGGGGAACTGCTTCTTCCATTTCCTGTGAGCACACGACTCTGTGAAGTCAGTCACGGAGCTCAGGCAAGCAGATGCGCTCGTGGCTCAGCCCCTGGTGTACACACTTCAGCCTCTCATCAGACTCGGAGGAGGGGGAGGCCGCCCTGGGCTCTGACAAGTCTCCAGGCAGGCTGTGAACCTCAGGTCTCGGCAAAATGATTGCAGCATTCTTGTTAAAAAGGTTTTGAAGAATTTCAAGACGATGGTAGCAGAGCGTTGAGCTCAGGTAGAGGACGTTGTGGGCTCTGTGAGACCACACAGTCACGTGCCCTTGAAGTGGGCATCCTGTGTCTGGGCAAGCAGGTTCTGCAGGAGAACAGGAGGCCTCATCTTCCCCACATCTGCATTACACACACACACACACACACACACACACACACACACACACACACACACGAGTATTTTGTCTGCATTGATGTTTGCACACCAAAAGAGGGCATCGGAACACTGACCCTATGGTAATAGGCAGTTTTGAGCTGACAAGTGGGTGCAGGGAATTGAACTCAGGACCCCAGGAAAGGCAGCCAGTATGTTTAATCCAGCCAAGTTTCCACTTCCGAAACGTCACCTGTGGCTCTCTCTGTTCAGGTATGAGGAGGAGATCAACCGACGGACGGCTGCAGAGAATGAATTTGTAGGGGTGAAGAAGGTGAGAGCTGAAGTAGACCCAGAACCCCTTTGTCTCCCCTAGGCAGAGCCGAGCACTGCTGTGGGTGGGGCTTACGTCTTCCCTCACAGTCCCAGGAAATGTTTGAAGGAAGCTGTTCATCTTTAAACCCTACTGTAACCAAGAAACTAGTTAGTAATAGGAGCTAATAATGAACACTCTGTGTGCATGAATCAAGACTTTTTCCTAGCCTACACACGTACCGTACTTTGGGTCTGGCCCCTTCAAAAGGTAAGGTGAGAAGTTACATTTAGCAGGGGGTAGAGGGAGGCAAGCGGAGAGAGGAGGGCTCAGAGAGGGGCTCGGGTGGAAGGGAGCAGAGGCCATCCTCTGGCTTCTCTCTTTCAGGATGTGGATGGTGCTTATATGAGCAAGGTGGAGCTCGAGGCTGAAGCGGACAGCCTGACAGATGAGATCAACTTCCTGAGGGCTCTCTGCGACAAGGTGATTCTTTAGTTTGCTGCCTGTGCGCTGTCCAGATGTAGCTAGGGGACAGGAGCCCGCCCACATAGCCAGCCGCAGCTCTGCTCGGCCCAGGCAATGCTCACTTTGCCTCTCCTGTCTGCAGGGTCGGGGCCCTCTTTTCCCTGAGCTCCACAGTCCTGGATCACAGTCAGCTACTGAGTAATGCTCCTCCGCCCTGTGCTCCAATGAGAAGCCACACGTGGGCTCACGGGCTGGTGTGCCGGTCGGGGACACTGCTCATCTTTGCAATTTGTCCTTTTCTTTTAGCCCTTTTGCTGGCACGCTGTAAGCTTATTTTTTCTACTCTGCCATTATTTAGCTCCATTCTCTGTGAGTAGGAAGTCCCAGTACCATTTGGGATCTGAGACATCCGTGTTCCCCATAGGAGCTGTCCCAGATGCAGACCCAGGTCAGCGACACGTCCGTCATCCTGTCCATGGACAACACCCGCAGCCTGGACCTGGACAGCATCATCGCCGAGGTCAAGGCGCAGTACGAGGAGATCGCCCAGAGGAGTAAGGCTGAGGTGGAGGCCCTGTACCAGACCAAGGTGAGAACCTCCCCTTCCTCCCTAAATTGGTTAAGCTCTGACCAGCCGTGTTGATCCGTCATCTCTCCTCTGCAGCTCGGGGAGCTGCAGAGCACAGCCAGCAGGCACGGGGATGACCTGAGAAGTACCAAGAGCGAAATCATGGATCTCAACAGGATGATCCAGAGACTGCGATCGGAGATCAAGAACGTTAAGAAGCAGGTGTGGCTAGGCTTCACGGACTGACCATCTGGGCCTGGGAGAGAGTAGGCAGCGGCCGAGCCCCCTGCTCAGGGTTCCCACCATGGAGTCCCACTGGTGGAGTCCCAGCCTCTGGGAACCTCTGCTGTCAGCCGCTTCTCCTGCAGGCTGGGCTTCGTGGCATGCCCCAGGACCCGGCAGGAGGGAGGGCTACCCATTCTGATTGGCAGGGCTAATGTGCCGAGCTGGCCTTGAGGGCTCAGCTGCACCATGCTATGGAGATTTACTTTCAATCACACCTTATGTAACCCTAGTGGCTGCTTTGTGTCACTGGAATGAAGCGGTCAGGGAAGGGCGGTCTTTTAAACTGTCTTGCAAAAGAGATCAAAGGCTAACAGACTGCTGTTGGCGTGCCAGCTCAGGAAAGCAGATGTGCCTCTTTTCTTGATGAGTCACGGGTTAATTTTAATGGGCCCAGGGTGACTTAGCCAAATTGCAACATCGTCTTGACTCGTGAGCACGTGCCACTAGGAAAGGGCGGGAGGAGCGGCAGGTGAAGCAATCCTTCCCTAAGAACAATCCGGTGTTTGCTTCCTGTGCTAATTTCATCTTTTACTCTCTGCCCCAGAATGCCAACCTGCAGACAGCCATTGCGGACGCTGAGCAGCGTGGCGATGGTGCCCTCAAGGATGCTGATGCCAAGCTCCAAGGCTTGCAGGCCGCCCTGCAGCAGGCCAAGGAGGACCTGGCCCGGCTGCTGCGCGACTACCAGGAGCTCATGAACGCCAAGCTGGCCCTGGACGTGGAGATCGCCACCTACAGGAAGCTGCTGGAGGGCGAGGAGTGCCGGTGAGGGGGCCACAGGGTCAGCTTTCTCCAAGTGTGGTTTTATAGTGACCTATGATAGCAAAAAAGGAATAATAATTATACAATAATAATGATAATAATAAAAATAATAGGAAGGACAGTTGGGCAGAGACCAGGGAGTCTCCTGAACAGCGGAGGCTGGCTAAGTCCACTGTTTTATCAGTACTGTTGTCTATCTCACTTACCGTGAGCACAGCACTGAATCAAGTACTTCTGAGCACAGTACTGAATCAGTACGTCTGTTCATCAGTGTGGTAGAACAAGCATTTTGAGGCTGTGACAAAATTTATGGACCAGAGCTGTCACTTGGAACGTTCCAAGGTGAAAACAGACTGCCTGATGCAATAGCCATGCCTCTTGAAGCCTTCCTCCCTTCTCCCTCCCTTCCCCTTCTCACTCCTTCCTTCTCTCTCTCTCCACATTCCCCACTGTCTTTTTTTTTTTTTTATTTTGAATGGGTGTCACTGGGTAGCCCCAGCTGGTCTTGAACTCTCGATTCTTCTGCCTCAGCCTCCTGAGTGCCCGGCTATGCTTCAGCGCTCCCTTCTAGCATCTGAAATGGGTGTAGTGTAACTGAGGACTTGAGTTTTACATTTAATTTTACATTTAATTGAAACTAACTTACCTAGCTTCACATGGCTAGAGGTTCCCATGCTGGAAATCCGGGATGAGCGTCCTCCAACCCCCAGTGCCGGAGCTGAGTCTGTGGGAGAGTGCTTTGACTCATGCACATCCCTAAAAGATAACTCAGCACGAAGTGGCAGGTAAAGGCTCACTGAGCAGATCCCACATGTGAAGGACGTGTCAGGAACTGAGGGGACATTCGTTGCCTCATGCATCTTCATTCCAATCCCTGCACGACAGAGGGAGCAGAGCCCAGGCTTGGGAAGGAAAGGGCTTCCGGTCTGCTTGGGAGAGTGAAGATGGCTAAGTGTATGAGCCGTGTGACAAGAAGGAACGGCCAGCACCAGCAGGCACTGTGGCAGGGGCACAAGAACACCCCTGTTTGCTCAGCTACACCAGCTCCACGAATAAACATAAGGCCCAGGGGGTGGGCGTCTCGAGGGGAAAGATTCGAACACAGCACACACTGTGGGCCAGCCTTGCAGATTTCCTCCATCATCACTGCTGCTGGCCCAAGCCCCACGCCACCCCAAGCTGCACTGGGGAAGGTTTCCCAGAAGAGGAAAGTTGGGTAAATAAAGGCAGGGCAGGGAAGGAGAGGAGGGGAAGGGCGTGCAAAGATGGAGAGTACTGCCTTAGCCGCAGGAGAAGGCTGAGGTGGCTAATCACATCTGCTAACCACAGAGTGGTTGATGGGAGTAACCCTGGACCAGCCTTTCCTTTCTCAGGGGCTTGACCCCAGGAGGGCAGACAAAGGCGGGGGGAGGATGTGGTACCCAGGGTTAGGAACCTTGGCCGTTGACTGGCTGCTGACTCAAGAACTAACTCTCATCCCTGTCTTTGCAGGATGTCTGGGGAGTGGCAGAATGCTGTGTGCATTGGTAAGTGGCACATTCAGGGACCTGCCCCCGGGCGGGAGATGGCTCAGTGGGCACAGTTTCTTGCTGTGCAAGCATGAGGACCTGAGTTTGAATTCCTCACCACTCACTTAAAATCTGGGTGAGCTGGCGCATGCCTGTTCCCTAGTATTGGGATTGTGGAGATGGATTCTGGGAGTTGGCTGGCCAGCCATCCTTGCTAACATGATTAGCTTCAGCGGGGATCCCATCTCAAGGGAACCGGTTAGAGACTGACATCCTTCTTTGGCTTCTGCACGTGTGTCCATGGGCACACTCATTCAGCCCAGTTCACTCAAGGTATCCGTGTGCGGCACCCCTCCTGTAAGCTTGGCCCAACTCTCTAGCCCTTCTGCTTGTGGTGTGCCCTAGGTTGGAGAACCAGGTGTTTTGTGAATTCTTCTGGTTCCTGTTTTTGGCTGGGGCAGTGGTGAGCCAAGTTCACTCACTGAGGGGCGTTTCTAAGTTACGCAGCAGGCAGGGCAGGGCCGAGACAGTCAGCGTCCAGCCTTTCTCCTGAACTGTCTGTCTCCCCTGCAGCGGTGATTAGCAATGCCACCAGCACGAGCAGCAGCTCTGGAGGCTACAGAGGGGCCGGTGGCAGCAACTATGGATGGGACAGCAGCAGCAGCGGCAGCAGCAGAGGCAGCAGCGGGAGCAGGCTTGGTGGCGGAGGCAGAGGCAGCAGCAGGGGCAGCAGCAGCGTCTCTGCGAGTCAGCGTGGCTTTAACTCCGGAGGCTCCCAGATCCTGGTAGACAGCAGAGGAGGCAGCAGCAGCCACAGCATCTCCTTGAGTCAGCGCAGCGGCTCCCAGACCTCGGAAGACAGCAGCTACGAGTCCCGCAGAGGAGGCAGCAGCACCGCCTGCTTCTCTCAGACCATCACTTCCAGCCAGCAACGCTCCAAGTGATCTTCAGGAGCAAATCTCGTCCACCCTCCTGCTTCCCCCGCTTTGGCTTGCAACTGTGCCTGCCCTCATCTTCTTGGCACCAATGGGGCATAGTTCAACCTTGCTTTCACTCAAGTTCCTTGGAGAAGGGGCTGAACTTCCAGCTCCCACATCTTTATGGCTTGTCTTAGGTCGGGTGGTTTAGCTACCAGTCCGGGGGGCCGGTGCTCCTGGGGAAGGCCCTGGATGGGCCGGGAATTTCAGCAACAGCTGAGCCTAAGCCATCCTGAGCCTTCTAGTCCGGCCTAGCCCATTCTGGCTGTCTGCTGCTCACAGGTGGAAGGTCAAGCTTTCCAGACTTGGTTCTCATGGAGCCCTCTCACAGGGCTCTGGCTCCTTCCTCTCCGAGCTGCGGATCTTTCGCTTATGACACGTTGCGTCCTCTTCACTCAATACATTGCTTTATGCTTGACAAACTGGTGTTTGCCCTTTATTCAAGGACCCAGGGCACAGGCCAGATCCAGCAGCAGAGCAAAGTCAGGTCTTCTAGAAGACGAGCAGCAGGTGCAAAGGCCACTGACGATACGGTTTCATCTTCACTCATCTGCTTGGGTTCTTGTGACAGATCAACCCAAGAGCACTCATTGTATTAAAGTGGGGGGACTCTCCCCACCTTCAAGTAGCTCACCATCCCCAGCCTCTGAGCCGGCCTCCGTGCTCCTGGCTGGCACATCAAGGAAACAGATGGCTCTGGGACTTTGTCCTTTGCTCCATCCCCACCATAGCAGATACTAAATTCTCTCCGCGAACAGAGCTCCTGCGGCCTCAAGCAGCCAACACATAGCACCCTCTTTACCCCTAGTGAGTTCTGAGCCAAGTACAATATTAAACGAGAGGAGGAGCCTGTGCTGGGCTGGGGGCGTGGTTAGGTGGTAGGGTGCTTCCTTGAACAGGTGCAGCCTGCTTATTTCGGAGATCAGTCAGGGGTCCTGCAGAGTGCTTGCGGAAACCGATGGAGGGTCTGGTGTTCAGTTAAAGGAATAAACAGAGACAATTTCATAGAACAAAATCCTTTTCCCAGCCTGAAAGAAAATGTGGTAGGTTCACACTCCCAGGGGGACAGACTTGAAAGCTGATTTCCTTGTGAACTGTTGTGAGGAGAAGGTGAGGGAGGTAGGCAAAAGTTGAAGGATGCTGGAAAAACTCTTTCCCTCTCCCTCTTCTTCCCTTTCCCCCTCTCACTCTTCCTCTCTTTTACTCTCTGTGGTGTGTGTGTGTGTGTGTGTGTGTGTGTGTGTGTGTGCCCACATGTGTGTCTTAGGAGGAGAAGTCTGGATACGATGAAAAAAGAAAAACATTTTTCTGGGAAGGGCAAAGATACAGAGTGTGTGTCCAGCCGAGCCTCAGGAGATGGCCTGCCTAGCTGCACGTGACTCAGCTGAGACCAACTGTGTGTTCCAGAGTGAGGGCCTTGTGTCTGAGGCTGAGCTCAGGGCCAGGACGGTGGCGGGGGTCTTTCTAAGTCTGGGGAGGCTGGCAGTCCACCCTGAGCTTTTTCCCTTGAGGACAGAACCGGGGCAGCTTTTTATCTGTGACGACAGTGAGGTATGTGAGTCCTTCTCCACGTGTGTGGCATGGCCAGAGGGTGAGAGGGACCTTCCCCAAGTGACACGGGAAACCCCATCAGTGTCTTCAGCCCATGGTGGTAAGTTCAGCCTCTTTATTTTTCATCCTCTAGTCTTCATCTCCTCTCGAAGTTTTCTAGGTTATGAAAACAACACAGACAACAAAATGCACAGGATTTCACCAAAGATAAAGCAAACGCCTTTTCTTACAACTCTACCCCGTGACATCCTGCTGCATTTACGCTCAGGGACTGTGCAGCCAGCTCCACTGAAGTGAAGCGTCCCTTTCTGCAGGGATGGGGCTGCTCGTGAAAGCGAGGCGAAGGAAGCTAAGAAGGCTGCAGAACCAGCACACCGTCCTCCGAGGGGACAGCTTTCTCAGCTTGAGCTGCTGGCAAGGTGTGCAGGGAGCTTCAGGGATGTAGATTTGGGTGTTGCATCCATGCTGGGATGGGCTTCTCCGGCTCCTGGGTGAGGCAGCTGCCTCTGCGTCCCCCAGGTCTCTTCAGGTAGCCTCAATAAACTCGCTGATTCTCTCGACCAGAGTTGATAGCATCATTTCTTTGAATCGTTGTCAGTATCCTCCGTGGGCTGCGACGAACAGGTGCTTGTCTCCAGGAGAAGTCGCACAACAACACAGACGCACATCTTCACCCTGCTCCCCCCACAGGTGCCTTCATCTCCTGGGCCATCTCTCTGGCTTCCTCCTCCAGTGTTTCCGTGAACTGGGTAATGAAAAAGCAGCCACACTCTACAGGCACACGTCTTGGTCATGGTCAGTAGTTTTCCTGCAGTGAAAGGAGCTAGGTTCTTCTGTGGGGGCACAGAGTGTTCTATGGAACCCAGCTTGGTGGAGTGGGCTGCCTTCAGTTCCTGTTTCACTCATCCTGAGACCCCCTATGCACAGAGCTGGCGCATGCTGGTCTGTTAGGCGCCACTGTCCTGAACACTGAGATCTGCGAGCAAGGAAACTCCCTCCAAGCCACTGCGGAAGCCCTGTTGGCTAGTCTCAGGGGCTGGCCCGCCTCTTCACTGCTCAAGGCCACTGGGTACAGCTTTCTGCAGTGACAATAACTACACCACAGCTCTGTCTGCTCTCTTGTGGCCCAGGGTTCCACGGGCTTTCATAGCTGTAGGTTTCCTTCAGCCCACAGGGCTGTTCCCACCGAGGAAACGCTGGCGCTCTGTCCACGGTGCTGAAACGGGTCCCGTGCAAGAGCACCAGGCATCTGCCACTCCCAGAGCCCCAGGCATCTGCCACTCCCAGAGCCCCCAGTCCTGTCTCACTTTTGCTGTTGTGTGTGGGCTGGCATAGTTCTTGTCTAAAATCAAAGAAACATTCTGTCCAAAGAACAACTCTAAAACAGGCCTGGAATTTCTCCCATTCGTGTTTTCTACAAAATAAAGACCTCAGTTCATGTGTCAAATCTGCTAAGGGTCAGACGTGCGTGCCTTGTGCCCTCCTCTCTGCCTCGGTTGCTGCACTGTCTGAAGATGCTGACTGGAATCTGTCCTCCCTCTTCTGACCTGGACTATTGTTTCTAATTCAGTTCTCTTATGGGAGCCAGAGGGGTGGGAAAAAACTTGAAAACAACTGATCTTTTCTTTAAGGATATATTAGAAGTGAGTGGCAGAAACTGGGAGCTCCCGCAGAGCGCAAACAAGTCAGAACCTTAACAACCACAGTTATTTATTTTTCTGTGGGAGTGTGTGGGAGTGTCACAGGGTGCAAGCGGAGGTCAGAGGCTAACTAGCAGGAGCAGGTTCTTTTCTTCCACTCTGTGGGTCCTAGGGATTGGACTCCGGGCATCCGGCTTTGCAACAAGTGCCTTCATCCTCTGAGCCATACTGTAGGTCTCAGTAAGTGTTTTTAAAATTTTGACAACATTATCCATTGATCTGATAACAAAGCAATAGCTTCCTCACAGGGATGTTTCAAGGAATGAATTAAATAATAAATATAAAAATAACATTATAAAACGAGAGATGATCTCATAACCTTATTATATACCCTTTAAATAAAAGGGCTACGTCAGGTAGCCTCTGTGCACTCAGTAGGCACCTGTCCACCAGCAGATCAGTTAGACAGTGCAGAGACCCTTGAGCGCAGGTGTGAGATTTGACCCCCATCCTTTCCGGGCTTGCTATTTTTGATTCATTTCTGAGGGATTACAGAAATAACTTTAAAAACCACCAGGAGAAACCTCCTTTTAGACAGTTATATCTTCCCTAACCCAGTGTCACAGTGGCAGCTATCCTCCCGTGGCGGGGCATTCCCTCCCAGGCCTTGTAAATCCCTGGGAGTTCCCCTCAGAGGTCCTGGGGAGGCACAGCCTGAGCCGTTTGTGTGAGTCTCCAAATGTGAGCATTGTTTCCTTTCCTACATTTTTATTTCCCAGTGCTCACTTCTACTTCTCTGCTCTGGGGTGCTTCTCTGACATCTTGGGTGCTTCCCCACAGAGGCTTCTGGGTGCCACAGGAAAGGGGTGAGCACCGCTGCCTGGCCTGTACCCTGGACAGCCCCTTCCTGGGCTGACTCACCCCGAGCTGGCAACGCTCTCCCATCACTGCAACACCTGACCTCTCCTGCGGAGCTGTAGAGATGGTTTGTTCGCTTGATGTGTGGGGTTTTGAGTAATCTCTGTTAACTCTTTCTTTGTGCTAGCTCAAGCTCCAATCTGCCAAATTGTTTTGGGTGCTGCTCCAACTGTACATCTTACTTGTTACGTGTATTAGGCTCTAGTCGGTTACACAGTCCTCTTCCTGCCAACCCCTACCCCCATCAGCCTCCATTTCATGCTTTTCTGAATCTCAGCAAAGTTGACTCTTCCTTCCCCCCAATCAACAGTGAGGTCATCGGGCTGAGAAGCAAAGCCAAGCTCAGCTCTCCACTGTCTCCAGATGCCCGGCTGTGAAGAACAGAGGTATGTGGGGAGGAAACCAAGGGCCACCCAGGGGCCTTTGGTGGCCCTGTGCTAGCCATCATCAGCCACCCCTGTGACAGCCTTCCACGAATCACTCACGTACTCTCCCCACGCGCACGGGCTACACCCCTTTGTAAAGCCTGTGCTCTCTCCTCCATCTTCACCACAGGCAGCCCCTGTATAGTCCACCCCACGATCTCTCCTGTTAGGGCTGTTGCTTGGCATGACTCCGTGGCCCTGACCTGCCAAGGCACTCTTCTGCCTGAAAACCCTAACAGGGTGACTCCAGACATGGAGTTTCTCAGAGTTCACCACTCACTGCTGTTTGTCTGGCTTCCGAGGCCCAGGGCTCTCCCCACACACCAAGGCCAGTAGCAGTCCCCGACAGTCGCTTCCTAGGGGAAACACGGTACGGAAAGTCAGCAGCTCAGCCGTCTGTTCTCAGTCAAGCTCTGAACATGCTGTGCTTGTG